CCTAATGCAATGAATGCCGCAGAAATAACTGATAAGCTTGGTCTTCATTCTCTCCGCCAACGTCACTGGTAAATTATTTTGTTAATTTTCACCCTGCAACTGTTAGTTCATAGTTGAATTGAACATCAGTTATGACCATGACTTTTTGTTAATTTGTGTTATATGGTTGATCAAATTGAATAGGGTGCTAGCCTAATGGCTGAGACTGGAATTATGGCATTATTTGTTTAACATGGGAAATTTCACTCATTAGTTTCTCTTAGATAGGATCATAGGAACTAGGAGTATTGAAAACTCTGTGGCACGTTGAGTTAGCTATGGATGGTTCAAACTAAACAACTAAGAAATTGGGAATGAATTTTTCTTGAATGTCATGTGAAGATATCAAACGAAGATGAATACTGGATATAATGGTTTTGAAGATAGAAAATTTTGGCCTAAAGTATTGTCGGTAATGTTGCTCTTTTTCAGGTACATCCAGAGCACTTGTGCAACCTCTGGAGAGGGTCTGTACGAGGGGTTAGACTGGCTTTCCAACAACATTGCTAGCAAGGCAAGTTTTCCCAAATTAAGTTTTTTATTTTATTTTATTTAATAAGAGTATCCGATCATGGTATTAATTTCTGGAGTATTTTACTACGCAGCATTCTTAAATGTTGGACGAATTACATTAACAATGGTTTTTTTTCAATTACCATTCATATTTGCTGTGTCTGCTTGAACCTTTCGATTCTATATTTCTGACAACACTCCCTCTGTTAATTTACAGGCATGAGAGTCGAGGTCAAGGAGTTTGGTTGCTTGACTTGGAGATTCTGGGGAGGATAGTTTTCCTTTATTTCGATGAATGTTGTAATAGCAGAATGTTTTGGCAAGACGTTGTCAGAATTCATGTGTGTATTTGCTACTCTGGCATTCTTAAATGTTGGACGAATTACATTAACAATGGTTTTTTTTCAATTACCATCCATATTTGCTGTGTCTGCTTGAACCTTTCGATTCTATATTTCTGACAACACTCCCTCTGTTAATTTACAGGCATGAGAGTCGAGGTCAAGGAGTTTGGTTGCTTGACTTGGAGATTCTGGGGAGGATAGTTTTCCTTTATTTCGATGAATGTTGTAATAGCAGAATGTTTTGGCAAGACGTTGTCAGAATTCATGTGTGTATTTGCTACTCTAGCTATAATGTTTAGCTGTAAACGAAGTTGCTATGTTGTTACAATCGTTTTGACGCATGAGCCAAGTTTATATTTATCATGTTTGCTTCAATTGTCTGCTCTTTGTGTTTCGACCAAAACATCAAATTTTGAAGTTAAAAAAGAAAAGAAAAACAGAACTAGAGATCATGCGCGGCTGTATTTTCTCATGTTTGAGTGTCAATAATCCTTGGTTGATACTCCATAACTTTAATTTCCTGGCTGAGTAAACCCTTCTGGATTTTCATTTCTAAGCTCTTCTTTTTGAAAGAGTAATATTCTAATTACTCTAATGTACGGGAAGGGGGATTAACCTCAGGTGCAATAGAGTACGGGTAGGAGATTAAACTCAGGTGCACTAGGGCCGGCACTTCACATGTGCTTCATTTCTAGGCCCTTCGAATCTTTAGGACTCTTTTGGGCCCCGAATGGGCATATGGATTCAAAACCCGACGTGAAGTCTGTTCTCAAAACCCAATTGTATTGTACGGTGGGCCCTACTTCTACCTTGCTAGCCCATCTGCTCCGTCTCTCTTTCTTCGATTAGAAGAAGAGAGCTAAAAAAGAAGTCGGCGCATGCTTTCCTCCTGAGTCTCCTCTCTGTCTCTGGTCCGGATAATGATTTCGAGTTACTTTCTTGTCGCATGCTTAATTTCTCTTACAAATATTTACAAATGCCTTTTTTCTTAATGACTTATAATTTAAACTTGACAATGTGTTCATCTTTAAAATCTAGGGCATTTAGATCTCAGCGTTTGTGTTATTAACATCTCTCTTTGATTATAACACAATTACTTTTTCATCCCCTAGCTTCTAGGTCAAATATTTAAAATTCCATTGTAAAGTACCTCTAGAACCATCTCATTGTTTACAGATTTTGTCATCTAAAATACTCCTAAACCTATATGTGCGTGCATAATTTGATAATAATATCATAGCACTTAAATGAGAATTCAAATTGAAAGAACAGTTTGCTCAAAAATAGAAAATTTATAACAAAATTTCATTTTTTGAATTTTAATAAATAAAACATACGGCGCCAATTTTTTTATTCATAGAAAAACTCATATATATATAAACGATATCTTACTTTAATCTAATCTTAGAGAGAGGGGGATTCGAACTCGAATACAGAGTGGGGAGCACATCCGCTCTAGTCAACTTGACTAAGTCCATATTTGCAAAAGCATATATCCTTTAAAGATTACAATTTATTTTTCTTAAGAATCTAAGCTAACCCTTATCCTTATCTCCATACCTGCACAAGATTTGGCCAGGAAAGCGATCTTACTCGCCATGTTAACACTTAATTGACAAGTCAGAAGCCATAAGTGAGTTAACACATAAATGAAACTTGCTGTCATCCAAACCTAATTAATTTGAAAAAATCTATGAAATCCCATCAATCTTATGGCAACACAAGACCTAATGGATAGTGGTGAGGTTTGCAAAAAGG